TTGATATAAAATACATTACATATAACCCTCACCTGAGCTTGACTATTCCCACAATGTTGAACTTTAAACGTTCAGTTTGCTGAAAACCACTCAAATTCCGACTCTCCTCCACCCCAACTAAAACGCCTCCTTTAAGACTCTTGAGCTATCTAGTCGAGGCGAAGTAACATTCTTAGTCACTTAGACAAGACAAATTATCGCGCGCGTATTGAAACAACGTGCCATTCCCCTTCCCACACTTCTCACTCTTCCCACCTCCTTCTCACAGCCACGGAAGTCAACAATCAATTCCAGCAGGAGCGCTCAGCAGGATAGTAGGCTCCCCTGCCGCGCTTTATTATTTATTCAATAAATCCGCTTGGCTGTGCAAAAACAAGAGCAGGTCGTGGCGTCAAACTATTTGCGATAGAGGTGGCTGGGGTTGTCTGGTGATTAATTGGACTTTTTTTGACAGGGGAAAGCTCTTATAGCGTCAACGTTGCGTCAACTTTTCATACCAAGGGTATTTAGTAATCTTATTTTTAGCGTCGTACATATACATATGTATAGCCTGGCAAGTAGAAACACATTGTGGGTTCATTGGTCTATTTTGACCCCCTCCAGCTTGCCCAGCGTCATTGAATCTTAACTTATTTGCCCTCGCCCACATGCCTGGAAAAACTGTCAGCAGTGAGCCCCTCGCCGAGCGCCAATTTCAGCTCTCTCTGGTACTCAACCCACCACATTCACGTCGATCCCCTTCGTAGAAATATACGTAGATCGCGGTAGCCGACAATCATATTCTGTAAGGAACTGTCCAGTACAACAATTTATCCGGACCCCTTCCTCGACAATACAAGTTAACTGGTGACTCAAAAATTTCCGTTAAATTATTCTCCATAAAATTTATTTAAACCATCATTTTTCTTGGGTTTTTTATTATATTATTAAATATTAGAACGTCTAGCAAAACACATGTGTTCTAAATTTGACTCAAACCGGGCTATCGGTTCCAAAAATATCTGAAAAAAATGTGATCTAAAAACAAAGGTTTGATTCCGTCTAACGGACAAACGAAGCACTTTTGCATAGAGGTAAATCATCATGTCAAATTGACTAATTTTGAGTCTAAAAATTCATGGTACTTGTATACCCTAATTGCTGATTCTCCACGGTTTAACTTTCGCAAAGCTAACTTTCCTGAAATGTACACAGCCTTGCAAGATGTTAATTGGACGGAGGTGATCAGTGCAGTTAATGTTGATGTCGCTTGTACCGCCTTGTATTCAGTTATCAATAACATCTTTGAGGTCCATGTCCCTAAATGTAAAAAAAATGTTTTCGTATCCCCCATGGTTCACATGTGAAATTATACTTAATATCAAGAAGAAGGACATAGCATGAAGGAACTGGAAACGTGACGGTACTACGTTTTCTTATGATCAGTTCAGTAATTTTAGGAAGCTCATTAAGAACCAGATCAGTGTTGCCTACTCCGCTTACGTCCAGTCGGTTGAGGATGCCATTGTCAATGATCCTAGCAAATTCTGGTCATTTGCCCAGATCAAAAAACAGCAATCGAGAATCCCCCCGAAGATGACGCTAAACGGCAATGTCTGCGATAGGCCTCAGGATATAGTGGACAGTTTTGCTACCTTCTTTTCAACAGTTTTTATCCCGTCTGATCTACTAGGGTCATCTCCTCCAACAAATAATTCTACCGATATCATTTCTCTAAAAAAATATAAGTGAATAAAACGTAATTAGGGCTTCGAAAAGATTAAAGAACAAAATGACGTCTGGATGTGATGTTTTTTTGTTAAAGATTGCATTCATATACTAGCGAAACCGCTGGCTTCCATATTCAACCTAATTCTAAAATCAGAGATATATCCAAATATCTGGAAGACCTCTAAAATATGTCCAATTCACAAAAGTGGAGATATCTCTGATATTTCCAACTATCGCCAAATAGCAATCCTATGCAATTTCAGCAAGTTGTTTGAGATCATCGCTTATGAAACGGTTTACTGCTCGGTCAGGGGTGCAGTCTCTATTAATCAGCATGGGTTTATGAGAGGCAGATCTACGGTCACCAACTTGGCTCTAATTACTCAGTACATTTCTGAAGTACTGGACGATCAGGGATAAGTTGATGTCATCTACACAGATATTCAGAAGGCGTTTGATCAAGTTGATCATTATGCACTTCTGGATAAGCTTAAAACAGTGGGTATGTCTGATGCAATGCTGTCGCTCATGAATTCATATTTGAGGGATAGAAGGTTATTTGTCGAATATGGTGGTCATAGGTCGGGTTTAGTATCGGGCCACGTCTGGGGTACCTCAAGGGTCAAATCTAGGTCCATTATTGTTTTTAATATTTATTAATGACTTGTCTTTTGAACTGAAGTGTTTCCATTTGTTTTTCGCTGATGACCTTAAAATCTGCACGTCAGTCAAGACAGTCGAGGATTGCGTAATGTTGCAAGATGACTTAGCTCTAATTTCGTCATGGTGCTCACGAAACTGTCTCAGTCTGAATGTTTCGAAATGTAAAGTTATGACTTATAAGGGTGATTCTCGGAAAGTACTATTTTTCTGCGTTTCTGTTGATAAAATAATGATACGTTAAGAATAATAAGCGATCACTGTTGAAACTGGGATCTTACAGATAGAAAATATCAAAGCACAAAAAAATTTTTCTTTAAAACTGAAATTATAATTTTTTTTATTGTTTTATGACTGAGAAGTCATATCCTCTGGCTGTTACCAGGCATATTTTCTATGTTTAACACATTCAAACAAGATCTATTTTCTAAATAACGTTGAGAATACTTTACCTTGCTAAGAACAGATCATCTACAGCATGAAAACTGGGCCCGTGAAATAAAAAAAGAAAAAATATGTTTTGTATCAAATGCATTTTCTTTGTTACCATACTTTCAGATCAGTCCTCTGCCACAAGCGGTTTGTTCAACTGTTCACTCAAAGATGGCAGTACATGTCTATTTCCACTGATAATATTAGCGGAAGACATCTTAGTTGCACTTTTATGACGTTTTGACGCGAATATTAATCAAATCCAAGCGGATAACCAAAATTTCCGTATTATGTACCGCGGTTATAATATGGTTCAAGATGACACACGGGATGGTGACGTCAGTTACTCGAATCGCTTGAACGCGTTGGTTTTAACCGCGGTTTGTTGCAAGTTGTTTATTTTAGAAAAGCCCGTATATAATTTCTGATTATTTTTATTGTCACTTAATAATCGGTGCTTTTTCGTCTACAACGGGGTATGTAAAGTTGAAAAAAGAAAACTTTCATAATATTAATGGGAGGAATGTTTTTTTTTCCGAAAAAAATTTTTACTGATGGAACCATGGCTTTGTAGCTATGATAACTTTCAATTCTCTAAGCTTTTCCGCATGTCAAAAAAAATATTTATTGATTTAGCAGAATTGATGAAAAAGCGATGAAAAAAGATATTAACAAAATCGTATACAGGTGGACATCATCCAGTGAGTTTATACGGCCATATTTTAATATTCTTGTGGTATATGGCTATACAGGATACTTTTTGTGGAGGAACTAGAGTTAAAGTGTCCCCAACAACAGTGATGATTATAAATAATAAGGTGCTCTCTTATGCTAAAACTGAAGTCAGCCTGTATCAAGTTTCCCAAAAATGAAGCTGAAGTACAATAAATATATCCAATACCCGGCAAAATTTTAACTTGTCACATGTCAAATAATAACCAGAAATATAAAACTACTCCGGAGTTGGGTAAATACCACAATTTTGCGGTGATAACTATGACATATAACAGCTGATTCGTGACGTCACGGATCTTATAACCAAACTGATAACCACACTCGCTTGAACGGATCGGTAAATACCAATCCAAAATGGTAAATACCATTTCCATTTGGTTATCCGCTTGAATTTGATTATTGATTCCCATTTGTAGGTTTTAGTATAATCTTAGCAAAAAAATCAAGTGTCACAAACGACTAATCAGTCCACTGGTAAGTGATTTATCATATAAATATATATTTGTCGCATTTGTTCTTATCGCTTACACGTCTGTTTCTAATATCGTTACAAAATTGTGTAGAAAGTGAGGTTATATTATGTAACTATGCTACCAATCAGTGCAAGTTTAACGGAACCGTCATTCCTCTGGCGTCAATCCTCTGGCTCTCAAGAGCCCAGAGGAATGACGGTGAGAGCAGAGGAATGATTGTGTCTTGATAAAATTGATAAGTAACCAGCGATTGAACTTTATAGGTACAAAAAATGGCTAGGACTAGGCAAACAACTCCACAAACAAAAGAGGAAAGGCTTAGAAAAAAACGGGAAGCAGAAAGAAGGAGGTATTACCGCTTAAAACAGGATCCTGTCGGAAGAGAGCAACTCAGGCAAAAGGAAATCGCCCAATACTTGAGAAAAAAGGAAAAAGAAGTCATAAAACCCATTGAAGACCTAAGTGAAAGGGACAAGAGAAGAAAACGAAAACAATGGAGAGAATATTCTCAGAAGTACAGAAACAAGAAAAGACAGATAAGAATGGAAAATGAACGTCTAGTACGTAGAATGCATGAAGACACGCCACCGTTGTCAGAAGAAGAACGAGAAAGTCTACCTACTACGCCTGAAAATCACCAAAGGGTTTCGGGAAAAAGAAGGTACGCAACAAATAGGAAAAGGAGAAGCCGTGAAAACAAATACAAACACGAATTAATCAAGAAGCTGCAGCTTAAAGTACAAAAATATAAGCAAAGGTATCATAGGCTGAAAAACATAAAATTAAATAAAAATGATCCATCCTCACCCAGAGGCAGGGCCATACAAATACTGGATGAAGATAAAAAAATAGTCGCAAAAAAATTGCTTTTTGCTGAAGTAATGTCCGACCAATTAAAACAAAATTATGAAAACCTAAATAGCACGAAGCAAAAGCAAATCTTTAGAAATGTTGTAAGTGGAGAGATAGTAAAAAATATCGTGTAAAAAAATGCATGGGAGCAATATTTTAGACGGTAAAGAAAATGATATTTTACAGTACACTACAAAGAGGCGATCTGATCCCCAGAACATTAATGCAATTTGGAGGTTTTTAGACAATGATCTTCATAGCAAACTATGTCCAGGAAAAAGAGACTACTGCAAGAGAAACAAGGTGATAAAACAAAAGCGATATCTATGTAACACAATGCGTAATTTGCATAAAGAGTTTTCTATTCGTTATCCTAATATAACAGTTAGTTACTCATTTTGGTGTAAGAATCGACCATTTTGGATTGTTCCACGAAAAGTAACATCTCGCGACACGTGTGGATGCACATGTTGCTTTAATATGGCTTTATTAGTTCAAGCTTTGAATAGGATGAAAGTCCTTACAGAAGGTAATGTTTCCGAGGTCACCAGAACATTTTGTTGTGCACAAAAAACTGAAAAATGTTTACTTCGCGAATGCCTAAAATGCAAAGATAATACGATTTCTTATAAACCATATCAAAGCACTGAAGTCGGACATTTTTTCAAATGGACTACGAGAAAAGAGTCTTATTTTGATAAGTACCAGAAGCAAAAGAGTATTACTAAAACCATCAAGCAAAAGCTTATCATGCCTTTGAACGAAATGATTTTTGAGTTTGAAGGATCAATCATAAACTTCTTGAAACATAAAGGTAGATCTCTGCATCAGTATAACCAAATTTCTAAGAAAAAGGAAAGTTTGATGCCGAATGAAGTCATGATCCACGTGGATTTTAGCGAGAACTATTCATTAAAACATGCGGAGGAAACTCAAGCATTTCACTTTGGTGGTTCGCGCCAACAGATTTGCCTCCATACTGTAGTTATCTATTTCAAGTCCAATGGCATTGTTCACACGAAGTCATTTTGCATACTGTCCCAGAGTCTGAAGCATGATATATCAGCAATCTGGGCACACCTTCAATCGATCTTGTCATACATTTCAGAAGTTCATGTTGCAGATACACTTATCTTTGTCAGCGACAGCCCTGCCACGCAGTATCGGAATAAAACTATGTTTTATTTCCTGGCGAATAAACTCCACCATTTATATCCAAAAATCAAGGAGTGCTCTTGGAATTATTGGGAGTCTGGACACGGCAAGGGTGCTCCAGATGGTGTTGGTGGAGTCACAAAGCGAACCGCTGATAGGCTTGTGGCTGAAGGAAAAGATATAAGTTCATATGAAATCCTTCTTAATAGTCTGCAGAATAATATCAAAAACATAACCTACTTTTCAATTGACGATGCAGATATAAATAAAATCAGTGATTTAATCAAGAAGGACAGCATAAAGCCTTTTGTCGGCACAATGCAGGTGCATCAAGTCAAAGTTGAGGATTACACTGCAGGACTGTTAAGATTTTTCAGGTTGAGCTTATTTGATGTTCAAAGTACGAGTTATTTTTGTGGAATCTTAGATTACTCTGATGAAGACAATGGATACACCCAGATAGAGCCAGAAGTTAGCAGCGACTCTGATGATGATTTGCCCTTAAGTAACCTTGTTTGTCATAAAAAGAAGATGCAAAGAATTCATTACAATGACGTCTACTCTGATGATGAAGCTGGCCCAAGCTCAAAAATATATCAACAAGATTTAGTGCCAAGTAACATTATAAAAGATACTTATGTGCTTGTTGAGTGTAAAACAAAACTAACAGGTTATCGTTATGCAGCAGTTGTCCAAAACGTACTTGATGATGACGAAGTTTTGGTGATGTTTTTGAAGGTGTGCAAGTTCCAGAATATGCAAGCATTTAGAGCTAATGATAATGATACGTCCTTTGTCGGTTATGATCAGATACTTGCGATTCTACCACCACCGAATATTTTTGTCAAAGGAAATAAAACATATTATAAATTCCATAACGATGTGGACGTGTTCGAAAAGGTTTGAATGCATCCCAGTTAATACTTAGCATTTTTCATTTATTAGTAGTTATAATTTAGAGTAAGCGATCAGGTTTTCTATTGTTCCCTTATTTATTTGTCTTTCCTCTGGCTTGAAGCCATTTTCGTAAGTTGGGATAAATAATTTGTACGTTATATTCTTATGAATGTTTTTTTAAGTTCGACTTTTCAAATTCTATCAAAAAGTTTGTTGATTTTGATATAAGTAGGTAGTACATTGTTGAGTATTTTCACATATGATCATTCCTCTGTCCTTGGAGGTCATTCCTCTGTAAACAGTATTCCATATATTATGTTCTGAATTTATAAAATGAAGAAAATATATGTGTTCCTCTGTGCAGAAAGTGTTTCATTCAATATTCAAACTGTATCCATAAGTCAGGGACCTTTTTGTCAAGTTATAATTTTTTCCAAATAATAAAACCTTCAAATATAACTGGTTATGGAGAATCACCCATATAAGAAAAGTTAACTATTTAATTTATGATAATTATAACATCAATGGTCAGGTTATAGACAGATGCACCTCTTATAGAGACCTTGGAGTCATTTTTGATACCAAGCTAACGTTTACTGAGCATATACTCAATATCTCGTCGGCTGCCACTCGACTACTTGGTTTCTGTATCAGAAACTGGAAGGGTTTCTCCAATGTTGATACATTAATGACTTTATTTTTTACTTTTGTCAGAAGCAAGTTGGAGTATGCGACTCTGATCTGGTCTCCTATATACCAAAATTCTGTCGTGATCCTTGAGGCCATTCAACGTACAGCTTTAAAGTATTTTCACCTTAAATGCACAGGTTCTTATCCAGAAAGAGGTTGTGACCATAGTGCCCTATTAGAGTTTTTCAATTTGGATTCACTGTCAACAAGACGAAACATATTTGCTTTGTCGTTTTGTATGGCCTCGTTCGCAATAAAATTGACTGTCAAAATTTACTTGAAAAAATATGTTTCCGCGTTTCAAGGCTAGGGAGTCGACAACAAACGGCATTCTATTGTCAAGCTGGCCGTACAAATGTTATGACAAAATCGCCAATTAATCTCACGTGCTGCGTCATGAACAGTGTTACTAAATCGTGTGATATTTACAGTGACAGTTGAGCATCGATTATTAACTGCTATAGATCATCCAATCTTATTTAGAATGTGTGATACTATAGATTTAAGTCCAAGAACCATGTCTCTTTAATTGTTATTTTTTCAGCGTTTCCTGTAATTGGGTTTCACCTGTTGGAAATAAATAAAATAAAATATCCACCCTGTATACTAAGCAAAAGGGTTAACCTTCCTGTATACCGGAGCAGGTTAAAAACGTTGAAGCCAATGAATACACCCGGAAGCATTGCGGGCACTGCCACCATTCCTCGGATGCGGGCTCTGCCGAAACGTCCCTATTAATCCCAGCTCTAATTCCCGTTCCCACTTCCAGCCATCCAGCAGGTCCTTTATTATATTAGGACGTGCCTAACCTATTAAATACCTTTCCTGTGGGAACGGAGCTATCCGATTTAACAATTTGACAAAACGGGTTTCCGAACTAGCGGCGCTAATTTATTTCGAAAGAAGGGCGGCCAGTCGTTTTTAATTTGGAGCTGGATTGGCTGAGGTACGGTTATTGGTGGTCCGTGGGTCGCTCCATAATTATATCGAACAAAGAATCGGAAAGGGAACAAAGGATTTTTGTTCTTATATTCGAAAGAGGATTGGTTGATTAGCAAAGTAGCAAAATTGTATCTGGAAGATTGTGTGGTTTGGTCAGCATGTGCATAAAATCAGTGATATTTGATATGTGAGAAAATTAGATATATCCATCAGCTGCACCAAACGGGTTATTTGTGTTGTCGTTTCTGAAGAGAGGTTTTCTTCAAAGTCATGAATTTTTCCAAAACTTTGAGAAGCGTTACGGGACATCACCACCGCGCCCGCGTTGAGTGTAATTAAGCCACAACGCAGAAAAATCAGGACTGACGCATCACACACAAAACATTTTTGCAGTGCCTCACATCTAGGCGCTGATTTGAATTTTTAACTTGACATTGTAAAATAAATTTAAATGAAAGGAATAATGTAATATCTAATAACTTTTTCACGTTTCATAAATATTACTATTTGTAGCCTATTTTCTCTGTTAGTTGTAATATAAATCACCAACCAGGCATTTCCATTTTTTTATCTCTCGCAATTTACAAATCGTCGCCTTCCGGAGAAAATCACTTATCTCCCCAAAGGCAAATTTTTCAGGGGAGACAAAAAACTTTCCTGTAGATTGAGTTTATGTAATAATTTATCGAAATTTATACTAATTCTTGGAAAAACTGCCACACATCGATGAAAACAAAAAAAAATGTGCTAAGTATAAAACTATGTTTCTTTAAGGAGTTACGCAATTTTTGTCCTTATGGTAGGGGATATACGTATTTTTCCAGAAAAACCTAAACTTAGGTATTATATTATGTATTTACATAGAACATAGTTTATAGTGAAAAATTAATTTTCCTCGTAGGGAAGATTATCATAGAAGGTATGGTAATCTTGAAGTAGAGTTTTCTTCAAAATTTGGAGATGATCATATTTTTCCTTTTTTATCTTCCTTCTTTCTTGATACATGTTTGGTAAGCTCTGTGTTGGTCTCGGTGGTGACAGCTTAACTCTCTGATTTAGTTGATGCCAGGGGTCAGTGTGCCTCAATTTGTAGTAGATCTTTCCAGATGGGTCATACTTTAAAGCACGTATTTTAACTACTGTATCTCTACCGGGTCGAATGGATTTGTAGTAATTAAGAGTATCGAATTTCTTAAAGAAGCTTAATGTAATGTATCTTACATTGTAAGGCTTTGGATTTTGTCTCGCAATCACACAGGCATGCACATAATCAGCAGGTATATTGATTTTACGGTTCCGAATCTTCTTCTCAATGCAAGAGTGCATTGAGTCGACTTCCATTTGCGTATGCCCTTTTTCGAGATATTTTTGGATGATGGTGATCTTATGGAGCATTGCGATGTTAACCAAAGTATTCGCCAGGATAGAGTTTCGATTCTGCCCTGTACAGCCGTCACTATATAGGATTATTTCTTTTTGCTCTTCCTGTAGTGAAGGAATTATAGTGTTCTCTATAAAGTCAGCCAATATAGATGAGAATTCGTTTGACGTAAGACCACCTTCCGTCTCGTTCCATAAAAAACAGTATCCGTCTTGGGTTTTTAAGTTATACAATGTAAAATTGTGCACGATCAACTTAGTCTTATAATACATTGCGCTGACCGTCGATTTTGGACATAGGAGAACTGCTTGCAAATCCATCGTAAAGACTGAAGCAGATGACTTCTTATCTTTCTCTTTTTCTTCTCTAGCTTCTTTTTTCATTACCTGATGTAAATCGTATTCTTCCTCTGGAAGATTTTTTGCATCGTATGCAACACACGTGTCACACAGGTCCTTTTTGGGAACATATATAGAGAGATTTCGTTTATTGAACTCTTTGAAAAAGATCGTTCGTGATACGGGTTCATCACCGCTGTCAGGGCAATGATGACGTTTGTAAAAGCCATACAACTGATTTGTTGAAGCCCACATCGGTTCCAAATACAGTTTGCTGCTTGATGCTCCGCAATAGTGTGATTCGACTTTCGGTAATGAATCGAAAAACTGGTTTAGTGCCTCGTATCTTCCTCCATACATTTTACTCCTACTCTGTTTTCTTTTGTCATTTAGTCTCTTTTCATTTTCTTCCAATTTGTCACTTTTCGTCCAGTTTAATACTGTAGATTCCTTCATGCTCATAGTATTTAGGAACATTTTCTTGCAGACTCTTAATTCTTTGTTCTCGACTTTAAGGTAGTACTTTAGTGAATAGTTTCTTCGACTATTTTCATTGGCTCCCCTTCTTCTTTTTACATTTTCAATTTTCACCAAACTCTGGATATAAATTTTTCTCTCTTGCCAATTCATGTGGTTCCAAAATATATTGAATATATATTCTCGGTTTTCCTGAGTCAATTTTCTACACTCTATTGTACTAGATTTAGTTGTTATCTTACAGTCGCAAACATTAGATAACATTTTCTTGTTTCGAGGAATGTCATATTTCCATTTTCCACCAACCTTCATTTTGCCTTTATATGCTAAGCCCTTTTCGCGGTTCGCTTGATTTCTAATTTTTAACCACATTGATTGGTCAAGATTATGCCGCTTAGCCCTTTTTCTCTGGAACAACTCTTCTGTTTGTTCTTCCATTCCATATGCTGCGTTCTCTTTTTCTTCTTCCATCAAATCAACTCTATTTTCATTTGATGGCGACGTGTCATATGCAGCGTTCTCATTTTCCCCTTCAACCAAATTAACTTCTTCGTTGGACTGTAATGTGTCACATTGTGTGCTGCCAGACTGTCCTATGCCGTCAATTAGTGCTGGTACCGATTGGTGAAATTCCTGTATAGCTGAATCAAACAGATCATGTGTTGGTTGGGGGTAAACTACATCCTCGAGGGTGGCAAAGCCTGGTTCCACAATACTATTTTCTGCACAGCTGATCAGATTACATATTCCGTTATCTCCAACCTCATAGATTCCCTCTCTTGCCATATCTAATATTTTCCTGGCTCTGCTAGACATTCTGAATGATCTGTGGACAAAAGATAATCACAATGTTGGGAATAAGGATTTTTAACCTCATAAAAGACGTGGTTAATCTATCTTGATTTTTCTGGGCAACAATCAAAACCATAGGTGGTAAGGACTTTAGTGAGGCTTCCACATCCTTTTTCAAATAATAGAATGACGATTTAAAATTAATTTGAAATATAAAAACCCTCCACGGCTGCCTTTATAAAAACACATTTGAATTAAGACATGACTATGGATCATTTTTCATCAATCTATTTACCTGGTTTCTTGATTTCTTTAATTCATATAATTCATTATGCGGCAGCCGAAATGTCAGTAAACTATTTTAGACAGCTATTGTGGTTTGATAAAAA